TGCTGTGTCCTGCAGAGCTCCTGGCCTGCTGTTATGCAAATGGAGTTCTGCACACAAACACAGCTAGCAAAGAATGATGGGAGCAAGACAACATGGTGGGCCCTTGTTAGCAGAACAACAACTCTTGCATCGTATATTCTCCATTACTGAGAGATGGAGTGGCACGCTCTGTAGAAACCTGATCTGCATTGGAATGCGTTTCCTGTCAAAGAAGCTAAGGGTCGTCAGCACAACAAAGGAGATGTCCTCCAGTGGAGAATCACCACATGGCTGAGGGGAATTCCAGAAGATAGCAATAGAGTTTCAAATGTCGTCCCACCCATAGTTACCGGCCCCTAGCTACCTGCAGCCAATACGGAGAAACTATGGGATGGATCTGGAAAGTCAGGTGAGATTACGGGCAGGCAGGGGCCCCCCCCCCCTTGGCTTTCAGTTATAACAAAGAGCACGGTTTTGGCCAGTAGAAGAAGCTTGCTTGCTAGCCTGGCCTTCGTACTCTTGCTTTGAGCAGCTGCTAAAAGCCTCTGCTGAGCTGCAGGTATGCAGAACTCTGCTAACCTGTTAATCTGCTAAACTGCTTTGTTTAGCTGAACAAAGCAGATAGATGTTGCCTTGCTTTAAAGGTGGAACCAGCCTCATTCCACCAGCAACCATGCTGTTGATGAAAGCCAAACCATGCTTTGAGAGAGAGACAGAGCAACGGCTGCTGTTGATGCTGGCAGGCTAACCATGCATCTCAAATCCCTCAATCTTTCCTTAAGATGAAGCCCTCTATTGAATCTCTCTAAAAATGCGCATTAGAGACATTCTACCACGTCTTGAGAAACCTGTATAAGGGCCAAGAAGCAACAGTTAGAACCGGATATGGAACAACTGCTTGGTTTAGCATAGGAAAAGGAGTACGACAAGGATGTATATTGTCACCTTGCTTATTTAATATATATGCAGAGTACATCATGCGAAATGCTGGCCTGGATGAATCACAAGCGGGAATTAAGATTGCTGGGGAAAAGATCAACAACCTCAGATATGCAGACGATACCACTCTAATGGCAGAAAGTGAAGAGGACCTAAAGAGCCTCCTGCTCAGAGTAAAAGAGGAGAGTGCAAAACTGGGCTTGAAGCTCAACATCAAAAAAACTAAGATCATGGCATCCGGCCCCATCACTCCTTGGCAAATAGAAGGGGAAGTTGTGGAAGTGGTGACAGACTTCACGTTCCTGGGATCCCAGATCACCGCAGACTGTGACAGCAGCCATGAAATTAAAAGACGCCTGCTCCTTGGGAGGAAAGCGATGGCGAACCTAAACAGCATGATAAAAAGTAGAGACATCTCCCTGCCAACAAAAGTCCGCATGGTCAAAGCAATGGTATTCCCAGTAGTCATGTATGGCTGCGAGAGTTGGACTATAAGGAAGGCCGAGCGCCGAAGAATAGATTCTTTTGAACTAAGGTGCTGGAGAAGACTCTTGAGAGTCCCTTGGACTGCAAGAAGTTCAAATCAGTCAATCCTAAAAGAAATCAACCCTGACTGTTCCCTGGAAGGCCAGATAATGAAACTGAAGCTCAAATACTTTGGCCACCAAATGAGAAGGGAGCACTCACTGGAGAAGACCCTGATGCTGGGAAAGATTGAAGGTCAAAGAAGACGGGGACGGCAAAGGATGAGATGGTTAGACAGTGTCATAGATGCAACGAACAGGAAGTTGAGCCAACTTCAGAGGACGGCAGAAGACCGGAAGGCCTGCCAGACCCCCCCCCCTCCAGGGATTCTTCCCTTCCCTTTTCAACCATCAAGGCAACAGAACTGGACTTCTAGAATGGGTGAGCATACCATCGTTTCAGCCAACTTCCTATTTCTAAGCAACTAAAGTAACTATTTTTATATTTCTTTCTGTAACGCTAAAGAAACTTGTATGATTGAGCGTATGATTCTATTATTGTATGTATGTGAGCCAAATATTATTATTTAGTAAAAAGAACAACTTGATTTTAAGATACAAAACCTTGTCTCCATTTATAACTGGGAAGTTCCTCAGGGAGGGATTGGACTCCTGTATAACAGGCTACAAATCCACCAAATAGTGCCCCCGCTGTACATAAAGCAGGTCAGGCTAACACGCAAAATACTAGAAATCAAGGGCATCCAATGAAGCTGATGGTCAGTAGATTCAGGACAACCAAAAGGATATACCTCTGTATACAACAAGTGATTAAAATTTAGAATTTGCTACCAGATGTAGTGATGGCCACTGGTATAGGTGGCTTTAAAAGGGGATTAGACAGATTCAGGGAGGTCTGTCAATGGTTGCTTGTCCTGGTGACAAAAGGGAAGTAAATCTCGGAATAGCAGTGCCAGGAGGCAATAATCAGGGAAAGCCTCAGCCTCTCTGCCCTTTCACAGTAGCTAGTTGGCCAGTGTGTGCGGCAGGATGCTGGACTAGATGGACCACTGGTTTTGTTCAGAAGTACTCTTGTTATGTTCTTATTTAAAAAATTAATGAAGTAAGTGATCAGGGCGCATTAAGTTAATCTTTTTACCACTTTTCTTTGCAATTACTTGCTATCTATATTGTTATAGACTTCTTTTGTTCCTCCCGGTTTTGTTTAGTACATTTCCAGTTAACATTGGGGGTGGGGGAAGAAGATTAAAAAAAGGAAGCAGACAGGGCTCAGAAAAATGAGATGTAGTCACAGATAGCCAAATGTGGAATTTTGTTGAGAACAAACATTTATGATTAGCAACCAGAAGGCAACCCTCTTGAGGCATGATTTGGGCCTTGGGACAACCGATACTCAAAAGGTTCTTGTACCTCAGTCCACTGATGTTGGCCACATACACACATAGAGGGAGTGATCTGAAGTATTTGCTCGGAAGGCCCAATTTATTCAGTGGGGTTTATCCCAGGAAAGTGTTCCTAGGACTGCATCCAAAAGGCCTTAGTTCCTCTTGCTTATGTTGGCTTCCATCTCCCAAACTGCAGTGTTTTCCATTGGTAGTACTGCAGCTCACACTCATATGGTCATCATTCCACTGCTAAAACACTTGTCTGGGGAGTAAAGGCAGTGGCTACCCAGTACACATTTGTCCACACCCCTCCTGCTTTCTCAAAACAGCTGCCTAAAATTATCTTTCTTTAAACTTTCTTTCTCTCCATTCTTGGTGCACCATATGTAATATCAATATTTACCTTCCGATGCTGGTTGTGATCAATTCTAAGGGCAACTGAGGTCTCCTGCTGGTGTAAATAGCATACACGTTTAGGAAAGTGTATGTACAACATCTGTCCATTTTATTTATCCCCATTAAACCCAGGACCGTAGCTACAGTGGGGCATCTTGGGGCCTTGCCCCCTGACTTACTGCCAGGGCCCCCTGACTCCCCATCCAGCCCAGGCCCCCCAACTTCCATTTTTTTATTTTGTGGTGCTCCCTTGGGGAGTGTTGAGGGTGTCTGTGCGGGGTGCCCTCTGAATTATTTAAAGGCCCCCTGAATTAAAAAGATCCTGGCTATGGGCCTGATTAAACCTATCCATTCTCTGCACCCTGGAAGAAGGAACTGACTGTCAGAACTGCAGTACTGACTTTATTTTGTACTAGCCTGAAACCTGTGATTCGCTACGGTATTTAACTTCCGTAAATCTAGTTATTATAATACTGATTATGTAAAGTTTGAAATCTAACATTTGTTGTAGGAATTCTAATGGAGATGAGACATACGTACTTTCTCTCTCTCTACTGAAGGACCTCTCTGTAGACTGCTGGGGTGGGCTCCCTCATGGCTTTAAGCACCCTGCAACCACTGCTGCACCTGACAGACAACTGCCTGTTAGGTGTAGTTGGTGGGAGGAGTGTGTTGGAAGCCTTCAGAGAGGCTGAGCCAGCAGCATCACTAAGATGATCCTTCTGGGACAACATTCCTGATGGATTAAAGTACCCTGGTCCTGCTCCTAAATCTGACAGACACCTGCCTGTCTGGTGTTGGGGGGATTATGTTTAAAGGCATCAGGGAGACTGGGCCAGCAGCAGGGCTAATGCAATCTTGCTGAGCAAACCTCCCTGGTGGCTGTAAGCATCCCACCTCCTCTCCTACACCTGACAGGCAGCTGCCTGTCCAGTGTAGGACGGGGAGGGGGGAGGAGTATTAGAATCCACTGTGGAGGCAGGGCTGGCAGGAACACTAAGGCATTACTGCTGTGGCAGGCTCCCTCGTGGCTTTAAGCACCCTGCAACTGCTGCTGCACCTGCCAGACAACTGCCTGTCAGGTGTAGAAGGGGGGAGCATGCTTGAAGCCATAGGGAGGCTGGGCCAGCAGCTTTGCTTCACCTCACAGGTGGTTGGCGACTCCTGATTTCCTCAACTTTTATTAGCTCTCTGTAGTCTGGGGTTTTTTTAATCTCAGAACATCGAGCTCCACAGGTGACCAATCAGAGAGTAGGGGTTGCAAGGAGGCAGCAGCCTGGCAGTCACATAGGAAGCTATGGGGGAGCACATTTTACCCCTTTTGACCCCCCTAGGGGTTGAATTTCTAAAAACCCTTTCATAGTGAGCACCTACTTCACAGTAGGAGCGCTCTCCCCGAATTTGGTGTCTCCAGGTCCAGCGGTTTGGCCTGGGCATTGATTTTATGGTGAGGGGGCTTTCTTTTATATATATATGAGAGGCCAAAGGATATATATGAGAGGCCAAAGGATGCAATAGGTCCATAGAGATAGAGCCAGTGTTGCATAAAAACACCCAGGAAACAAACAATTCACTGTAGTATTTGGCAGGAGCTAGTCTGGGTCCAATGCCAGCATAAGGCTGGACTTTTAGATACAAGCAAGTGATCTCATGCAATCATGCTGATCTGTAAACAAACCATCTTTCAGATCAGGAGCGTGGGTCTTGTCAAGTAACAATGCATGTTGAGGTTCAGGCTACTGTGAGTCCCTTTAGTCACAGTAAGTAGGTTTTTTAAAAAAAGAACTTCAATATATACTGTCTTGTATTCAAACAGATAACTTTGTAGTTGTCCAAAATGGAGAAGCATTCCACCACTGCAATACCACTTACTTCAGCTCTACCTAACAAGAAGCAGACCGTGTGTATTTTTGGAACAGGAGATTTTGGAAGATCTCTAGGACATAAGATGATGCAGTGTGGCTATACTATAGTATACGGAAGCCGAAATCCTGAGAATTCCAAACTGATTCCTCAAGGAGCCACGGTGTTATCCCATGCAGAAGCAGCAGAGACCTCTGACATCATCATCCTAGCAATTCACAGACTATATTATGACTTTCTGGGAAAGCTGAAGGAAACTCTCGGTGGGAAAGTGCTGGTGGATGTTAGCAACAACCTCAAAATAAACCAGTATCCTGAGACCAATGCTGAATATCTTGCCCAGCTGTTACCAGAGAGTAAGGTGGTAAAAGCATTTAACACAGTGTCAGCGTGGGCTCTACAATCAGGAGCACTGGATGCAAGCAGACAGGTAAGAATATCTCTGGAATAAAAGGTGGCACACACACCTCATCAGGAAACCCAAGCCTGGGTTCCTCTGAGCCACTGCCTCCCAGCCTAGTAAGCAGTGCTCAGACTTGTGGGTCCCTGAGGTTAAATGCACACAAGAAGACCAAAACCTTTAGAAAAATACACACAGGTTTATTGAGCAAAAAACTTAATAATACTGCTAAACAACACAGTCTCTAGAGTTAATTAGAAAAGGACACAACAAAATTTAACTTTTCCTTTGACACTTTAGTACCTGGCATTAACTGGTGCACCATTCAAAATTGCAGAGTCCAGGCTAGAAGCTTATGCCTCTGTCCCATGGGATCAAAAGTGAGTGTAGTGTCACCTGTATCTAATGCCCAATTATAGTTTCTTGCTCTCTGGCATCAGGCAGTCTTCAGAATCCAATCAAAGCGGTCATTCACTGGAGCCCTCCAAGATATGATGCAACTTGCTCCTGGCTCCTCCCTCCCATCTAGTTACAGAACTGAGTGCAGGTTTTTCACTTAGTCAATTACCACATTCTGATATCAGGCCTTGAAAGAGATACAGATAGTATCTATGAGAAATGCTAATTAAGAAACACCTGCAAGCTGAAACAGGCCCACTATTATTCATGTTAACCCTTGGTAAAACTAGGGTGCTTTTCCTCACACACCGGTATGTAAAGGGAAGTCACAGAAGGTAAGGTTGAAAGATCCCATTCCATGTTCAGATGTCCATTTCATCAGATGTGATGAAGGCAGCTTTGACTCTTGAAAGCTTATGCCTTCGAAATTTCATCCACCTTTAAGGTGCTAGTGGACTTGAATCTTGCTCTTCTTCTGCGGACTGACAGGGCTAACCCAACTGAAACTATGTTCCTGAATTGTATCACTTAGACTTCAGGTCTAATTATCTATAGAACGTCTAAAGGCACAACTGTCTTTGTTTTATTCTCTGTCCCAAAAAGTCAACAATAAAGGAAAACCATTTCACTAAGAGAACAACCAGATTCTTGTTCCAGTCAGATACATGATTACTATGAAGATGCAAACTATTCCTTTTGTTGTTGTTTTTTGTTTGTTTGTTTTTGCTGCAGGTGTTTGTCTGTGGCAATGACAGCAAATCAAAAGAAAAGGTGATGGATATTGTTCGAAGCCTTGGTCTCACTCCGTTGGATAAGGGATCGCTCTTAGCAGCCAAAGAAATCGAAGATTATCCTCTGCAGCTCTTCCCTATGTGGAAGTACCCCATTTATCTGTCCCTGGGCCTCGCGGCATTTCTTTTCATCTACTGTCTAATCCGTGATGTAGTCTACAGTTATGTTACGAGAAACAAAGACGTTTCCTTTTTCATAGCTATTAGTATTCCAAACCGGGTCTGCCCTGTTGTGGCACTGATCCTTCTTGCTGTGGTTTACTTGGCTGGGATCTTTGCAGCTATTCTTCAGTTATACAGAGGGACAAAATACAGGCGCTTCCCAGACTGGCTGGACAAGTGGATGCTCTGCAGAAAACAGCTGGGCCTGGTTGCCTTGGCTTTTGCTTTCCTACATGTTTTGTATACGCTTGTCATTCCTATACGCCATTATGTAAGATGGAAGCTCAGCTCTAATCTTATCCAACAGGTAAACTGACATTGTGCTGTTTCTTTTCCTATTTCACCACCAACCTTGAGGGGTGGAACAACTTTGTAGGACCATCTTCTGGGTGGCCTTCTGATGTCAGTGAGAAAGCACAAGAGGACGCCATGCTTGATAGACTCCACTTTGTGCAGATAGTGTTCTCTCCACTGTCATCTCACTTACACAGAGACATCTGAGGGGGAGGGGGAGGCCTACTCCATGTGGGAGTGGTGTGGCGATCACCTAGGCCTCAAGGCCCTGGCACATTTCTGATTACATCCTCACAGATACAGTGGGGCCATTCCAGTCTTTTTGAACTCCTTTCATAGTCTGTGACTATAGTAAGGACTTCAAAAAAAGTATGTATTTATTTACAAAATGTGTATCCCACAGGCTATTCATATAATCTGATACCTTTTCCCATCCTGTATTCATGGATTATCAGAAAGCACCCACATTTTAGTTTACATCAGCCATTTCATCAAGAAGACATTAACACCACTCATGCAAACTGCCACGAGTTCCCCTAGGTCTTTGTCTACCCTGAGAAATCTAATCAAGGTATTATTTAGGGACACACACATCAGTGCGCCTTAGGGTCAATTTTTCCTGCACCTGGACACACTCTGCCCAATGCAGTGTGTGGATGTTCTCAGCACTAAACATTGCACCTCTGCTCTCTGTGGGCGTCTTCTGTCTCTCTGGAAAATGCTACCCACTTCCCTCACTGCCTTCCATGAACCTTGATCTCCAGGACCTGGTATATATTGCCCTCCCCAAATGTTTCCCCGCTACTTCCTTTTATTTTTTCCCTCTTAGATAGTTTGTGTGCTTCCCCCTTGTGCTTTGTATGTATGTTTGCTCTTTATTCTTTTATAATAAAACCCCTTTTCTGTCGTACTTCAGTCTGGTTTACTTGAGAGTTCTCAGGGAACCATCCCCGTAAACGGTAGTTGAGATCTCCTAGTTACCCCCTTCTTGTTTGTCTCCAATTACACTAATTCCCCCAATTAATATCGGAGACACCCCCTCTGGATAACACTATGCCCCACTCCAGCCAACATTCTTGCTGCAGCATTCTGTAGCAGTTGAAGTTTCCAAATACTTCTCAAGGCAGGGCAGCTTCACACAGAGCACATTGTAGTAATCTAATCTAGATGTAACCAGGGCATGCACCACAGCAGCAAGATCTCGTCTGCCCAGGAAAGGTTGCAGCTGGCTAACCAGTCAAAGTTGATAAAAGGTACACCTGGCCACAAATGCCAGGCCTGGGTCCAAGAGCACCCCCAGACTATGGACCTGTTCCTTCAAGGGGAGTGCAACCCCATCCAGAACAGGTGACACCATAATTTCCCAGTCCAGACCTTCCACCCACCTGTAACACTTCCATCTTGTCGGGATTCTGTTTTGGCTGAATTAAAGGAGTCCACAAGAAAGAAAATTCAACAAATTCAGTTCATGTCCTTTATATTTGTATCCCACCATTCCTCCAAAGAGCTCAGGGCAGCACCCATGGTGCTCCCCGCCTTTATTTTATCTTCACACCCACCCTTCAAAGTAGATTATTTGCATCACTGCTGTGGACTGCTTCTCACTCACGTCACTTTGTCCATCATCTTAGGCTCTGAGCCACCTAAAGGGGTGTTTGAGCAAAAGTGTGTGCTGGATGCTTTTGGCAGACCGGAACAACCACATTTTGTGGGATTCCTGCCAGAGTCCATTTCTGTTATCCCATCCAGCCTTCCCTTACGTCACCAGTGTAGGCAAACCTTCATCTTCAGTCGCCATAGAGGGGGACTTTTTCTTTCCCAGCCTTTCACCCTAATTAACCAAATATTAGCAACCAGAAAGATTTTCTCTGTTTAACTGAATATTAGGAACTGCATATTAATTAACTGAATGTTTAATTAACCAAATATTAACAACCAAAACGATTTTCTCTGTACCCTAGTGGGTGCAGTTTTTTTATCCCTTGCAAGGCAAAGATGAATTAAGTTTACAAAACTATCAGGATTAACTTTTTGACTCAGGTGACAGACTACTAAAATCTATTCTTAATTTTTCTTGCCTTAGGTATCTAAAAATGAAACCCATCCACTTAATACTGAACGTGCCTGGATTAGTGACTCATATGTCGCTTTAGGTATCTTGGGCTTCTTCCTGTTTGTCCTGCTTGGGATCACATCCTTGCCCTCTGTCGCCAACAGTGTCAACTGGAGAGAGTTTCGGTTTGTCCAGGTAAGAACCTCTTGTCCGAGCTTCTCCTCTTCTTGGTTTTCCTATCCAAATCTACTCAGAAGTGAGATCCACCAATTTCAGTGCAACTTCCTCTCATCAAGTAAATGTGCATAGAACTTCAGTCTCCTGAGGGACAGGGTTCTTTTCCTTTTGCTAATTTTATTTTATATGGTATTGAAGTGTGACCAGGGGTGGAGCAGGTAAAATCAAGTCCCCTGGCATCTTAGAGACCAAGAGTTTCAAGGCATAAGCTTTTGAGAGTCAAAGCTCCATTCATCAGGTATGAGTAGGAAGGGAGATCTCTCTGTCTTTATATCCCAGTCAGAAGGTGGGAGGGGTGTTGTAAAGAAGGGACTTAGGATGCTATGGTACCATGCATATTGTAATCACCTTGACTAGAGCAGACGGGAAATGCTTGGGGGAAGAAAATTAGCATCTGTAGTGGAGGAAGGGGAGGGAGTGGAAATGGAGCTATCACAATCTTTAGTTTATCCATTTTTCAGGTAATCACCAGAGAGTTTTTTCCTGGTTCCTTCCTGTAGAACAACTGCTGCTTTATCTGTGGTTGCCCCAATTTTTAGAATGATCTTTCATTTTTATTCTCGCTTCCCGGACTGTGGGCATTTTGTCAAGATCATTTGCTTGTGAAGGATTAATATACAGTTGACCAAAAGTTTGTGTTTTCAGAAGAGCCCACCTGCCTCCTAGTGGAGTCTGGAGTATTAACAGGGTTACCAACACCGGGCTGGAAAATTTCTGGAGCTTTGGGAAGGATGGCTTTGGGGAGAGGAGGGACCTCCGTGGGGCATAATGCCATGGAGCCCACCCTCCAAAGCAGCATCCGGGGGGGCTGGTCTCTGTAGTCTGGAGATCAGTTGTAATTCTTGGAGATCTCCAGGCTCCATTTGGAGGTTGGCAACCATAAATAGTAGGGAACTAGCAGTAGGTGCAATACGGGTTTTCGGAATGGTTGCAGTTAGGGCTTCAAGGCCCAAGTTGAGTAATATATAAATAAACACGCAGAGTTTCTTCAGAAGAGGCTGAAATAAATTCTTAGAGGAACCTGGAGGATCCTCTAAAGCCCATTATAAAATAAATGGCAGACTTTCTGGGTAACTCATTATAGAGGATTTTATTCTGTGCTGCTACAAGTTATGGGGTTTGAAATTTATTTTTGTACAGGTTTCATCAATGTTTTCTTTTTTAAAAATAACGCAAGGCGCTTTTGCCGCTGGGAAATATTTTAAATAAACTTAGTTCTCCTGCAGATCCTTTGCTATTGTTCACGGCATGTCTTTCTATCTTATGCAAAGGAAAGAACACAGTGCCCCATGGGGCTAATTATTGGTAGGTCTGGCTCACATGATTACAGTGGTAAGCTTCAAGAATGTCATCATCCAGAAGTAGAGTAATCCTGGTCAGCAAACAGCACAATAAAGCCTTATCTAATGCATCACAATTTTTGCCATTGGTAAAATCTTCAGAAGAACACAGTGGGCTTCATTAGCCCAAGATATCCCTAACTCAATTTAGCCTGTAACAAAGGAAATTGTAGTTCTCTTGAGAATCATTTTGACAGCTGTGTCTTTTAAGGGCCCCAATGCCTTTCACAGAATGTTTTTGCTTTCTAATGGATTTGAGCTCCTTGGAGGAAAGCAGAATAAAAATTGAATGAATTATTTCTTCTCTCTTTTTCATCCCACAGTCCTACCTTGGCTACCTGACACTGGTTCTGTGCACTGCCCATGCACTGCTGTATGGTGGAAGGAGGTTTTTGTACACTGGTTCATATCCATGGGGGCTCCCTTCTGCTTACATCCTCTCTCTCATTATCCCTTGCATTGTGTTGGTAATGAAGTTTTTTCTGATATTTCCATGCATAGACAGACCACTCACCGCAATTCGACAGGGCTGGGAGAGGAAACCCAAACACCTGTATGAGCCACACAAACTTAGCGGGTCCTCTGTATGAATTCTTAGCCAATGTACTGTGACTTGTATATAAGTGTAAATATCTAAAAATGGCCAAGGAGTGGGCAACTGAGACACGCTTAAAATGGCCCCAAATCATGAACACCATAATTACTCTGTAACCTAAAGACAACAATTCTTGGCATCACTTAAATGATCATCTTCTAGTTTCCATTCTGCCACAGAGAATGTATGTTTCTTCCTACATCTGGCATTGGAGGAAGCAGTTATAACTGTTTCTTACCTTTCAGCTCACATAGATAGAAAACCACATTGCACTATTTTGAGATTCTATTATTTTTTTTAAAAAAAGTTAAAAATATATTTTTATGTTCATTCTACCTGTTATTAATCCAACTCCTGTTGCATAATTATATATTACTTTTCTTCCCATCATCCCCTTACTGTTCTGGCTGGTACTGGAGCCGTTTCCCTGATGTAGCTAGGCAAGTACTAGAGAATCTATTTCCTAGCCGTTCTCTGGCACCCCTTTCTGATGCACCCAGGGCGCTGCAGCTTGGTCACTCTGGGAATGTGGTTCTATGCTGCCGGTCATTATCATCCAGGCATCCAGCCTTTCAGATATGCCAAAAAGAGCATTCAAAGTGTCAGGGGAACGAGATATTTTGCCCACAGCTGTCTCCTACTTGGCCTGGCCAGCAGCAGTGATAAACATGACAGCAGCCCCAGACAATATACAACAAATAGGGAGGGGGGCAGATAAACATTCCCTGCCAGTTGCAGTATCTCTTCCCCCATTCCTGACTACTGTGAACTCTAAACCAGACTGCCAGTTGCCAGAGCAATGAAGGGAACCTAATATTACCAAATGCCATTAATTTTGTACTATTATCAGTATAATGAGTATATAATGACTTCATTATTTGATTTGTTGCTGTGCAAATTCATGTCCCTGTATTGAAGTTGAGCATCGTATTTAAAAACTAAGCATGTCAGTTATGAATGCTTATGAGCTGAAGGGCCATAACAACAATAATTTTGAATTATGACTTCTATTCTGCTCCTTTTCAGATTCACATTCTTGTCTTAATAAAAGCACTTCAGCCATTGCACAACTGGCAATGGCTCCTCAAAATATTTGTATAAGCATGTTATGTGAAATATCTACACATGCATAAATAGGAAATCCCTTTTTATAAAGGAATTTTGTTACATTTCAGGCTGGCTATGGCTTTATGGTGGGTTTAGGGGGTGTAGTCTTACACAGTGCATTTCCTGTAAATGGATAGCCAGGGGAATATGATTTTCACGACTATTACAACCTACAGCTGTGAATGAAAGCAGAACTTCTAACTACACATTTGTAACAATGAATGGGAGAGAGGTAATAAATTAATCAAAGATTTCTCCGGGTATATTTGTTGTAAAATCTCTGGAGCTAGAGAAGAAACCTAAACAAAAAGATGTTTTGTGGTACATTACAAGCCCAGACTTCCGCTGACTTAGAAAGATGTAACTCTGTTTAGGACTGTGTGCTGTGATCAGCTTATTATAGCATGAGCCTTTCTATAGGCTGGAGCCGGTAAATGAGTGAAGAATTTGAGGACATATGGTCAAGATTTTATAAATGGATAAAAGAACATAACATAAAAACACCTAGACATACAACCAAAATTAAAAAAAAGAATTATATACTTAACTATGAGCAAAATATGGATATTAAAATCATGAGGTGGGAAAGATATAAACTTTTTGGTTACAGTTTGAGGTCAAATGACTATGTAGGGGGGGGGAAAAGATACAAAAGAATCTTCCCAAATGTGTATCTATGTAAGTGTATACATGAAATAATTAAAACAAACAAACAAACCCAGAAGGGCACAGCCATTAGAGTGTCAGACTAGAACCTGGGACATCCAGGTTTGTATCCCTGCTCTGCCACAGGAACTTACTGGGTGACTCTGGGTCCATCACATTCTCTCAACCTAACCTGCTCCACAAGACTGTTGTTGTGAGAACAGAGTGGAGGAGAGGAGAAAAATGTGATAAAGCAGCTTTGGGTCCCGATTAGGAAGAAACATGGGATATAAATTTTAAAAATATGCATCTTCACAAGCCTAATCAATAGTATGCACATAGTTCAGCTCCCTGGTATACACAACATTTTATTACTGTATGTCACTTGCAAGTCACTATGCATGAACACTGTTAGTTAACAAGGTATACTGTGTATCTTTTTAACATAAAGAAAATTCATCAATTTCTTGTCTTTGTTGCTCATATGATGGTAGTAACACCATCAGATTTCTTGGTTCTTGTTCCACCTTTGCCAATGAAGAAGTGATGAACTCTGAATGGGAAGAAAGTAATTAAGTGAAGAGAGACCTGGCCAGTCTCCCTGTATGAGGGAAAACAAGAGAAGAACCTTGAGTAATGTAGGAGTTTACACATCTGAGCCAAACAAACGCAGTTAATAAAACACATCTGTGGAACTGTACTGCTTAATCAGACCGTATATCAGTAAACAAGACCACCAGGTACAATCCTTCACTATAGTTAGTTATGGGCAAACATCCCCATACTAGCCCTGAAACCCCTTGAAGCTTTGTAAGCATCTCTATTGAACACTCAAAAATGTTAATAGGTACGCGATAATATTTGGTTGGATGCTTGCAAAATGTGCACGTGCACACACCTGTAAACAGATGACCACTCCTATGCCCATGCTCCTCCCCCCTCAAGTACCACCCTACCTTTCTAGGTAGGGGGAGTAAACTGCCACAGAGGGCGGCTCTTTATAAGCTTCATATGGCGCCAATATTTTCTGTATGTAAAGGACCAGCTGGTAGTAGCGTAGATACCCAGAAAGAAGTAAAGAACCTTTACAGGAGCCAGGAGAGCTCAGGAGACTAGTATGTCATTGGAGAGAGACCCAGAAGAGCCACCAAGTGTACCAACCTCTCAGAAGACCCAAAGCAGAACAGCACTCATCAGTCCCTTCTATTTATTTATATTATTTACCATTCACCTTTCTCACTGGGACTCAAGGTGGGTGACACAGAGTGAGTCAATACAATCAACAGGATGGGAAGCATCGAGGTTTTCTCTGAACCTTAAAGCTTTGCATTCCAGTCTATGGCTTATCGTTCCACAGGTTGCCCATTCCAAGGGAAAAGCTTTTCCTGGGGAGAATAATGCCTCTGAAAGCTAGACACATTCTGAAGGTTTCATATAGGCCAGGTATGAGTAGAAGAAATTGTTACAGCACAGAATACCCTTCCTGAATTACGGGGGGAAATAAGTTGTAGCTGGGACATAACACAGTATTACTATAGCACGATTTCATCAGATCTTGGAAGCCAAGCAGGGTTGGTACTAGGAAGGGAGACCACCAAGGAAGACTCTGTAGAGGAATGGCAAACCAGCTCTGGTTCTCTCACCTGCCTTAAAAGCCCCTTACTTGCGTTACCATAAGTTGGCTGTGACTTGACAGCACTTTACACACACAAGCTGTAACCTCAAATATATAGGTGCATTTCAGCAACAATAATCTCTAACTCACCCAAAAAAAAAGTCAAGGTAAAACAGCAAATGAGTTTTCACTAACAGTTTTTTTATGCTGTTGTCAGTTTAAGACATTTTAACATTGATTTTTTTTTAAACCCAAACAGTCACCAAAAAACTTTTTATTGTAGTTTGTATGCAAACTGTTTGGTGGAAACCATAAAGATTTACTGATATAAAAGAAAAGACAATAGATTTTATCTCATGACTAAACATTTTCCATAAAGAATGAAATTACATTTGATTCCATCAATTACATTTACCCTTTAAGGGAAAGCATATCATCTAACCTCAAATATATAGGTGCATTTCAGCAACAATAATCTCTAACTCACAAAAAAAAAAGTCAAGGTAAAACAGGCACCATTTAACAGGCACAATCCTTTTAAAAAAGCATTTATCCCTGCTAAATCACTGCCCTTACCTTTCCCTTCTAGGAAATGCTAGTTAGCTCTTTGTTAATAATATTGTTGCCACCTGTGGTGTCCTCAGCCCCAAGACCGATGTATTTTTGCACCCCAAGATCCTTTCACCTTCCCAGGTCATGAGGCACCGATGGCTACATCCATTTTGATTTCAAGGGTTAAGACCGGAATTTCCCAAGCACTTTCAAGAGGAAGTAGTTCAACTGCCTGAATGCTCTTTTGTGTGACCCTCCCAAGCTTCTCACACTCAAGCTTGCAGAACAATAACCAAAGCTCTCAGAATCTTCTTCACAATACAGACTTCTTTGGTAGGTCAATCATAAGCCCAGGAAGGGCCGTCAGCCCATCCCTGACAAATGGAGCTCTGTCCATTTCCCTCATAGTGAAATAAGACAATAAAGTCTTGCTTTAGATGAATAGTTGCAAAAAAGTTAGAAAGGTGCACAAGGAAACCCAGTGATTAGACTAACCTGGACATGTGCACTACTTTCTGTGCTATAGTGCAGAAAGAAGGTTAACGCAAAGCACAAGGCGCATCATCCTGACAGGCCAGCTGAGTGACAGCACCAAGGTGGCCAATTTGGTTTCCAATTTGGAATGTCCATCTACCCACGACTTAGCACTGCTGCAAAATTTTCCTGTCTTCAAGAGAGAGAAATTATACATGTCATTTCCTGGAATGTTTTCACTGCCTACAATGCAGGGTCTCAGTTGGGGCTTAAATTGCTTTTCATACAACACTGCTCCAAGATAAACTATTAGTACAGACAGACCTTTACAACCTGCATAGCTATGGGCAGTTTTTCTATTTAGTCTTTGCAGGCTAATTCCACGAGTCTGACAGCTGCGCACGCAAAGCACCTAATTGGATCTTATACTGGAGTCCCAGGGGCACCACTAGCAGAAAATTAACTATCAGCACTCCTGACCTTCCAATCGTGCTATGCAAATCCAGTTACACGGCTCTGGAGGAAAGAGAAATCAGTGACCTTCTGGTCTCCTTACTTGGAAAACTCTGGATCATGATGCCTTGCAGTGGCTTTAAGCAACACAGACGCAAGACAACCATATCGGAACATAAGAAGAGTCATGCTGAATCAGACCTTCAGCCCATCAAATCCAGCATTCTGTTCACACAGTGGCCAGCCAGCTGCCTCCAGGAAGAAGAGGAGATTGGATTTATACCCCACCCTTCACTGCCTGAAGGAGTCTCAGAGAGCGGCTTACAATCCCCTTTCCCTTCCCCTCCCCACAACAGACACCCTGTGAAGTAGGTGGGGCTGAAAGAGCTCTCTCGAGAACTGCCTTTGAGAGAACAGATCTGAAAGAACTTATGACTGACCTAAGGTCACACCAGCAGCTGCATGTGGAGGAGTGGGGAATCAAACCTGGTTTTCCCAGATTAGAGTCTGCACTCCTAACCACTAGCTCTCAAGCCCACATGCAGGATGACTGCAACAGCATCTTCCTGCCCGTGCTCCCCAGCAACTGATATAGAGTAGGATGTCTCTGGTACTGGAAGGAGCAGATAACCGCCATCACTAGTAGCCATTGTGACTACTAGCCATATGAAGTAATGATATGGGCAAAGAGCCTGAAAAGTACACAGACCTGTCAAACTCTGGTATGCCGGTAACTGGATTGGACTCAACTAGCTTTTTTGCTGGTGAGCAAAGAAGGCAGCATCCTGTTTGACCACCCATAATGAGTGGTCATACTCATACATGTACAAAAACCATGTGGGACGAGGGCTGCAGTGTGGAACGGAATTGGGTGAGACTGAGTGAAAAAGCAACCTACTGATTCGGGTGGCTGTTCCACTTTAAACTGAATATCTGTGATGGATGGACAAAGGTTCTGCCCCTTTCTTTCAGTCGCCAATCCCATTCGTGTCTGTTTGGCATATGAGCAGAGTGGATAACAGCCAATCAGGGCTCATGGATGGCTGAAAACCCAGATGCAAGTAGGGAATGAAAGAGAAAAATCTGTTAAATTGTCAGCCCTTGTCAGATACAGTTTGCATCTCCAGAGTGTTAGGAAATATACTGTCTCAGGAGACCTTATATATCTCAGAGCCTGGTTTGGTAATAAGAAGGATAAAACAGTGAATGAATTCATTTAGAGTTTGTGCCTTTAGAGGAGTAGGTGGGAAGAAATCTTTTCTCAGGGAACTTTGTATGTCTCCAAGCCTGGATTTTAGAATAAAGTGGGCTAATTTCAGTGAATACTTAAAAGAGGAGCTGTATCAGAGTCCTGTTTTCAGATATAGCAGGCTGTTACTGGAACTCGCAGGAGGAGCTCACAATATGAGAATCCTAATGTGGTGGAAAGGCCAAAGATTTACCTCAGGAATAAAAGCTTGTCTGAGAGCCGCTATCTGTACTCCTATCTTGTTAACTAAAACTTGATAACTTTCAGAGTCCATCAAATCTCATGTATTTTATATATACTGCTATTGGCTTTCACCTTGTTTTTTGGCATTATATCTGTTTATATATTTTTATTAACTATTTATATATACTTTATTTTAAATGTTTTTAATATTGAAATGTTTTAATGTTTGATGTTTTCTGTCTTGGCCTACTTGGATGGAAAGGGAGCATAGAAATATTTAAAATAAATTCATAATATATAACTTCAAACAATTTACCACACAACCTTATTCCATCTAAGAAAGTTAATAAAAGTTACTGTTCCCCCCCCTCCCATTTACCTCAAACATCATCTGGGAATTACTGCTTTTAGAAGCCACTCAGGGCCTATCTAGCAGATGGAGATTGGGGTAGAGATCGCCTTGGTCAAATGACACAGCATGTGACTTCTTTTTAAATGCCACTGTATACCTGAACCTTCACAATCTCTCTCTAGACAAAAGTCACTTCGATGTGGAACCACTGTTCTGTTAAAGAAACACTGTCGAAACAAAGCCATGTAATTAGTATGGTAAAATGACATTATGCCACAAGTTTCAAATTCACCACTTTGAGAAAATATGTTTAAATTAATCTCTGGCTGCCTACAGATATCAAGACACACCTCTGTCTGTGACAGGCACAAATGCAGGGTTGTTGGGTTTCTTACAGCTTGTTCACACATTCCCTCAGTCCCTCCCCACTCTTCCCTCACTGATACATAGAGTGCAATTCAAAACTTTCTGGTCTGATCAAGCACCAATTCACCATGAAGTTTTGTGGAAGGCTGGAGGGGAAAACCCTCCTATGAATATTTTCTTCTCTGTGCTACTGCAAAATCTTCCTATCTTCAAGAGACACAAGTTATACATTACCTCCCCCCAATGTTTTCACTATGTATGCAAAAAAAGTCTTTTTTAAAGGAGATTTTCACAAATAAGGTAAACAGAATGGAGTACAACCTCTAGTAAAACAAATGTAAACTTAAAAATACACAAAAATTAAACACCTTACGGCAAACAATAAGCATTTCTTCAGATATATAACGAACAGGAAAGTATTTACCTTGTGAATGAACTGTTAAGACTGTGGCTTTTGTTTGCTCACCAAGGAAACGAACAGGAATGTATTTACCTTGTGAATGAACTGTTAGACTGTGGCTTTTGTTTGCTCACCAAGGAAAGGGATTTTTGCACACACCACACCTATACTCATTCAGTTACTGGAAAGCAGATGAACACACTGAAGAGGACCTTTTCTATAGGTGAAGGAAACAGAACCCCCTGCCTAGGTTGCTAGCCAAGCAAGACGTATAAGCATGCAATCACAACCAAAGAACAGCACAGTAAGTTACTGTCTATTTTCTTTGACATCATGAATGATCCCACATTAATGTGATAATTTGTATACCATATTGAGTACAATACCAGAACAGGAAAAGTAACTTAAAAGAACAAGACTGCAATCCTATGCCCATCTACTTGGATTGAGTCCAACTAAATTCAGAAGAACTGGAAATTCTGAGTACTAAGTATAGCATCAGAGGGTATGCTTTGAAGACTCCATCACATGACAAGCTACATTCGAGCATTTCTCAAACCGAAATCCGGGAATCCATGAGAATACTCCAGAGTGTTTGCAAATCCTATTTGGCCATCCAATAGGGAAAGGTTTCTGCCACCCACTGTAGCACACAGGAGTGACAGCCAGACAGAAATTCCCAGGAGATTAGCTGAGGTGGACCCTATGGTCTGACTTCTTGCAAAAAAACAAACAAACTTAGTCTTGTGAGAGGACAGATGGCCCACGTGACATATACAACTTTCCACAAGATAGTAATAGAGAATAGAAATTGCAAATTTGTAGTGATCAGAGCCCAGTAACAGAATTGATATTATCATCATCACATAGGTCAAATCTCTTCCTTGATGTGGGAACTGCTTCAGGCATCTTAAACCTTTAAAATAAATACCACCACATGTGTTGTTGAAGATTCAAGACTGACTGCTACAGTTGTCCTTATTGCTATTCATTCATCATTTTGTGATCATGTTTTAAAACCGGGTTTGACTGTCTTAGGTGTTAAATGCTTTAGTAGACTGGTTTTTGTGTTTGTGTGCGTGTATTGTGGAAAGGAGTGGAAAGGAAGATGTAACAAAAATGTTAATGCAATAATAAATAAATTTTATAAACATTAACCTCAAGTAGATATTCCATGTGCATATAAATGGAACATATCAAAATGCAACTTTCATACCTTTCTCATTTGAAACCTGTGATATAAAATACATAAAGTCCTCATAAAGTATCTAACAAAGAGTAAGCCAAAGTATGGATAGGTCAAAAGATGCATTCCTCCTTCAGATATTATGACCTCATTTAAACATGATAGATTTAAGACAGAATTCACCTGTGTCAGAGGGCAAGCCCAGCAATTCATTTAAATTGGGCCCTTAGCTATTGTGCATGCACTGTTAGTATCCCAGAGATCTATAGCCCTGGGAAAAATGATGCTGGCTTCCAAACACTGCATTTTGAAATGGGAGCCAAGAACATAAGTCTAAATAAGACAAAACTACATATGCATGAGATTTCCACCTTCACAGATATAAACAATCCTGAGCCTGGGGAGGTGGCTAGGGATCCTCAGTGATGGTCAAGAAAGTATCTTTACCTGATACCTAAATAGTAGTTCAATAGAAACAAAATGACATCTCTCAAGCAAGCAAACAATGACATCTGCCGGAGAAAAAAACATTCTTTTCAGATCCAAGGACGATGATCAGTCGGATCCTGAACATGAAGCAAACCCTACAGATTGATTGCTACCTCTTTGTTCTGTTATGTTCCTCCAATGGTACAAGATACTCACAGGAAAGGAGAAAAATGGGAGGGTTTTAAGGCAAGGAAAATGAGTTCCCTTGAGATGACGTGGAGACCTGCAGTGTCATATGAAGCATAAAGTAACTTAAATGGATTTTCAGGCTACAGACTTTCTTTGCCTTGGGTCCTCAGATGCTCAGGAGAAAGGCAGCTACATAAATATTGGAAATAAATACAAAAGGCTGCTCTTGAGATGTTCGATAGGTGCAAGTACAACTAGCTAATATATAGCAGTTAGAGGTATGTATTTCATTACTTAGTGTTTTCCTGTTTTGAGATTCAACGTTCCAAAGTCAAACTTTGAGAGATCACATACTTAAGTATATAGCTTCTCCATCTATGCAGTGTAACCAAGAGTAACATCCACTTGCAACAAATAAAGGGGGAAAGGCCTCTTTGTTTGTGGTACCTTATTTTTCACGGATGAGTACCACTCCAAAGCTTTTGTAAAGCAAAAAGAACCGTTTGTGTATCTAAATACTTAGAGAAGGGTGGGGTCATATACGTTTTGTTGTGTGGGTGAACAGAGCAGGATGAGTTATTGCTTCATTTCACTTGAACGCCACCCCAAGACAATTAAGCATTACTTAGCAACAAACGTTTAAACAAGCAGGTTTAGAGGTAAGCAAAGAAAAGAACAGACTACTACATTCAATTGCTTCACACCAGAGGTGGAGAATCTGCAGCCTTGACACACCTATGGCTTCTTGCAGTCCGAATCAGGTTTACTCCCGTGTACCGCTCATTTAACTCCGGTATAGAAGCAGAGCTGCAAGGGAAACCAGGGGTCATCTAGCCCAACCCCCTGCACAATGCAAGAAATTCACAACTACCTCCCCCCACTCCCCCAGTGACCTCTACTCAATGCCCAGAGGTGTCTGCAGGTGTGTCATAAGCACAAACGGACGAATACAGACTTCAAACGAACACTAAATCAAGCAGCACAGCTATGACACACTTCCAGTGAACAGTCGCTGGAACAGGAATAGGGACTTCAAAAGAACACTAATCAAGCAGCACAGCTATGACACACTCCCAGTGAACAGTCGCTGGAACAGGAATAGGGAAAAACAGCAATAAACCAGCATAAGGGTTTCTGTTTTGGAGGAAGCGAGTCAGGCTAGAGCAACCAAACTGTACAACGTGAGACTGTGCTTGTTTCATATCGGGGTGGTGTGTGTATGATGTATGTAATGTATATGTAAGAACTGAATTATTTCGCTTCCCTAGGCTTGTTTACTCTGGCAGCGTATGGCCACGGCTTGATATAAAATTACGCTTTCCTCCTTCCGTGCAAAGCTGAAGGAGAAACACCCGACGACGTGCGCAGGGACTCCTCAGTCCAGACTTTGAGGAAGCCCAGTCCGGCTCCCACGTTTTCAATTCCATCCCCGCACATCCTGGCTCTTCTGCGCCTTCAGCGTGCGAGGTTCCAAACGCACAATGGTCGCTTACACAGGCAGAGTTTCGTTTTGGTTCCATAAACAGGAAACTCAGCCTGTACCATTGCTCTCGCCCAGGAGGTGGGCACTCGTTTTGGAAAGGCCCGAGCAAGCTCGGCAATTCATTCCTTGTGCATCTAGGGGGGAAGGGAAAGCGCGAGAGACGCCTCCTATCCTGCGTCAAGGGGCCCGCCTCTTCCTCCTCTCCACCCCCCCCGCCGTGAGAATGGGCGGACCCGGATTTCCTCCGGGCGTGTCGCAGCCGCTGAGGTCAGGGGGTTGTAGCGCTGCCGCTGAGACTGCAGAGCATCATGGCGTATCCTGGGCACCCCGGCGCTGGAGGCGGCTACTATCAGGGCGGGGTGAGCGAGCCCGGGGCGGGTGGAACCGGGGCGTCGGCGTCTGGGGGCGAGCACAGGCTGTTCCCGCGGCGCCCAGCGCTGCGTCAGGGCCCCCAGCCCCGGGGCTCGCCCTGAATTTTTGCAGACTACTGCGCTGGAAGGGCGTGGGCTTGTTGGTGTCGGTTTATAGTCTTTGCAACCGTCTTGACGCGCCTCCCCTCGTTATTGCGGGGGGTGGTAGTGGTGGAGCGTAATCCCTTGGCACGTGATTGTACAAGTGTGCGCCTCCTTTTGGGTTAAATATGTTTTATGCACAGAGATGGGGTTTGGCGATTATGTGGTTCACACCCCACTTCTGGGAGTTCGCATATTATGCCTGCTGTCAGTGCTTGAGAGGGCTGTGTTGATCCCTAGCTCATCCGTGGAGAGCGGGTTACACGTGGCCATCAGTATAGGGGACACATACATGAGAAGTTGGAAAGCCAAGGTTGTAGAATTTCAGACTGCATGTTGTGGATTCTGTGTCCATAAAACTCTCCACAGCAATGAGAAATCCTACTCACATATGTTCTCTCCTCCCTCGGTGCTTAGTATACTAGTTTTCTCTTGGTAGGGAATTTTTAATCTAGAGAAAATATGCACTCTTTAAGTGGTGGCGTCTATTCCACCACTTCCTGAGTTCATTCACCACACTTGGTTGGTTATGAGAACTGAACCACCCTGACTTGTTCTGGATATAGCTTAACCCTGGCATGCGACAGAACAACTTTGCACTCTCATGGGTGGGAAGACCTGCTTGATGCATTGTAAGGAGGAGACCACCCTACTGAAAGATAGCTACAGGATTTGTGACACACAGGTGCACATGACTGGTGTGTTTTGTTTTGCACATAGTATACACCATTCTGTCTGCCTTCTTGTGTAGTAAGGAGGATATGACCTTGCTTACTATCACTGGAAAAATTTAAAAAACACTCAAGAGGGGCTGTACTTGCTTCCCTTTCACCTGTCGATCATCTGTGCATGGGCATGAACCTTTGTGAAGTAAACAGAGGATCTGTCTAAGTGTGCATTCCAGCCCAGTGATCCCCAAGAGGGCCATGACTGCCAGTATGTTTTCTAGCTTCTTCTTGAGCCTTGGGGGCAAAATCCAAAAGGCCATAAATGGAACGACGACAATAAAAACCACAGGGAATTTCAGGCTGCTCCTTGCCAGCAGGCTGAACAGCAAAGAAGAAGAAGAGATTAGATCTATACCCCGCCCTTCACTACCCAAGGGAATCTCAGAGCAGCTTACAAACTCCTTTCCCTCCCCCTCCCCACAACAGACACCCTGTGAGGTAGATCCCAGCACCTATGGCAGTCCTTTTGTGAAGGTACACGCTCCTTGTTCTCAAAGTTTAGAGAGTGCCTGCATGCTCACCAAAATAGAGCCTTACTGCTGCCAATTTGTGATTTTTTTTTGTCCACGTGGATGCTTATGGCACATGTTCAAAACTACACACTCCTTGGCTAGACTAACTCATTTAGATTTCTCCCTCCAACTGGCTTCTGCACTCTCTGATCTAGCGTAGACATGAATTGTTACTCTGCAAACAAAGTAACTTGTGCTGGATGATAATAAACAAAAGTCTAATTTGAATACCATTCAGCATCTCTCCCAAGGAATATTCCTTTGTCCTAGAGTGACATTAGAAATTATATTTTAAAAGCCTTGTGTAGACTGTAGTTTTTGGTATATTTTCAAAACACTGTAAGAAAACCACCAGGCAGACAAAAATCTATTTTAAAAATCTATTATATATTAGACAAGATGGGGTATAGAATGTCCACTGGGATACAGCTCCAGGAAGTAACTTCCTGTGCCCACCTGAGAGATCTTGTATTTTCCAGAATGCTATCTAAGATCTGCTGCAAGCTCGGCTCCTTTTCATCATATGAAAAGACTGTTCTGTCCAGCAATTACTTGCCCTTGCTTTTGGATATGTCTGGGCTGTAGTTGTCTCTAAACAAAGGCATATGTGCAAATATTCATGGCCAGCAGTAAGCAAAAGTTTTGAATTGCTAGTTACAATGAGTCTCTGCTGTGGATTGAGGGCAAGGCAGTACCTGTGTCATTCAAGAGACAGCAGAAGTGAAATAGAAAGCAGCCAGCAACCACCATCTTCAGAGTGTAGCTTGTTGCCTTTCCCCCATTTTCTGTGTACACTCCTAAATAGCAGAAATGCTAAATCTCATTATGAATTAACATTTTAGAAAAAACAGTCAGGCCTAGTTCCAAACCACTGTTGACAGTTGATAGTTAGCATGTTGTACCACAGTTGATATTGAACAGCCTTCAAAATGATGCAGAAAATAGAAATTGTGCTGGGTTCAGTCAGAGGGGTCCAAATAAGGGAACAACTAGCCAATAGAAGCAAGTTCTTTATTTATTAGTTTATCATGATCAAGCAAAGCATCTATCCCCATAGGAGTTCAAATCACTAACCCCTATTGTTCATCTTTGGTACCTAAAATAACTTCTACATCACAAAAATGCAGTAACATATAGCCAATCGGTGCTTACCTACTCAGTAGTGTACCAAACCTAAGCCAATATGCAAATGATCTGTACTGCCTTCTTAACATAATTTTCAGAATTCTATTACCTTTATGCTACAAAGGTTACAAGAATTGCTGACCACTACAGTTAAGAAAACAAGATAGAGGTTAAAAGCTAGTTTTCCATATAAAGCAAGGAATGCAGACTTTTGCAGACTTCAGTTAGAACACAGATAACAGTGCTGGATCAGCAGTAGGTCAAAAGCTTCCTTCAATTCTTTACTTGGCCTTCACAAACATGGCTACACCATGGTGCCCTCACATTTCACTTTTTTCCCCTTCAAAAACATGCCTTGTTGAAAGGGTTAAGGAGAAGTATTACATACCTAAAGTACCACAAAAGTACTGACTTTACTGTTTCTCCTTACTAGTATGGGAGTGCTCCTGGAGGACCGGCATTTGCTGGTCAAGCTCAAGATCCCTTATATAGCTATTTTGCTGCTGTTGCTGGGCAGGTACGTTCTCCTTTTTTGTTCTTTATTGCTGATACAACTTTGTGATGTTCCTTAATTCATCATATACGGTATGTTGCAGAATATGCAAAATGCGTATCCTTAATTCTTGTTTTTAAACATCTGTTGAGATGTTATAATGCATTATTGCAAATCAAATATTTACAAGAGTTCTAATGTGCATGAAAATTGGGCTTCTAATTGGGTACTCCATTTGCACTTTTTGTGTTATGAAGTATTTATTTTTACATCTTTTATCAAGTCCCTGTTCCCACTTATTTGAGAGCTGCATCATATGTTTCTATACTAGGAAATGGGTACATATGTGGGTATATTAAAATGGAGCAGAATGAATATTGGGGCTCTTTAGCCTGGCGAAACGACGGCTGAGGGGTGACCTGATCGAGGTTTATAAGATTATGCATGGGATAGAGCAGGTAGAGAAAGAAGTACTTTTCTCCCTTTCTCACAATACAAGAACTCATGGGCAATGAAATTGCTGAGCAGTCAGGTTAGAACGGATAAAAGGAAGTACTTCTTCACCCAAAGAGTGATTAACACATGGAATTCACTGCAACAGGAGGTGGCGGCAGCTACAAGCACGGACGGCTTCAAGAGGGAATTAGATAAGCATATGGAGCAGAGGTCCATCAGTGGCTAATAGCCACAAGGTATAGATAGGAACTCTCAGTCTGGGGCAAATGATGCACTGTATTCTTGGTGCCGGGGGGGGGCAACAGTGGGAGGGCTCCTAGTGTCCTGGCCCCACTGCTGGACCTCCTGATGGCACCTGGTATTTCTGGCCACTGTGTGACAGAGTGTTGGACTGGATGGGCCTGATCCAACATTGGCTTCTCTTATGTTCTTATGTTAATATTGGTAGCCCTTCCTGTGCAAAGGCAGGGCTGTCTAAGAGCCATCACAGACTACCATGGATGCCCGCTGGGCTTCCCTTCTGTTCCCAGATCCAACCCAAACATCATATCAAAAGAAATCATATGCCTGACTCCACGACTTCAAGGAGACCAGAGCCACTAGAATTTTGTTCTGCTGGTGCCATTCTTTTAGCAGCTTTATGTAGATGCTTGGACTGAGATTACTGGTCAGTACTACAACTATAATAAGCTAGGTAGCAGTGGAGCGGTAGCAGTGGAGGACTGTACTAGAGTCCATTAGCAAAACAGAAACTTCCTGGTTCCCCATTCCCATGACAGCCGACAGATCTTTAAGAAGTGCTGTTCCTGGGCAATAGGGGACCCTGAGGAACAACCTGCAGGATGTGTGTAGTGGGAAGGGAGGCTTAGTGGAAATTACCCACCAGTTTTTGTCTGTGGCCTGGTCCATTTGTCTTAAGAGAAACCAGTTGGCTTGAGAAAGTAAGGATGGTTGACTGTTAATTAATACTGAATATTGACCCGCCTCCTTGTTTGTTTTTAATTGGTTTTTTACTGTTTTTAAAAGTGGATTTTTAATTGCTTTTAATTCTTTGCTGCTTTGAGGGCTCTAATTGGGCAGAAAGGTGGCATACAAATGTTTTTAAATAGTAAAATAATAAATTGGGTGTAAAGCAAGTAAAAATTGGAGTGATTATTCTTCTGTTTTCCAAAGGATGGGCAAATAGATGCTGATGAGCTTCAAAGGTGTCTGACCCAATCAGGCATTGCAGGAGCGTATAAACGTAAGTTTAGCAGGTTTAAACATTTAAATCTTTAGTACAGCTAAACTGTTCAGATGCTTCATGTAGTTCACGATTTAAATGATAAATTTAAACACACAACACAGTCCTCTGCAGTTCTTTACCTATTGTAACATATTGAAGAGGAGTCTAAGCTTATGTAAACCCTGAGGAAATAATAGCCTTGGTAGAGATGACTTTTTGAGTCATGAGTCAGTGCCTTCATACTGTTTAATTCCCAGTCTTCAAAACTACTTTTCTCAGGAATTAGGGGGGAAATGAAAGCATGGGGGTGGGAGGGAATAATGCATATTGGCTAAGAGCATAGATGTTGCTGTTGACTCCTGTATTCTCTCCCCCCCACCACCACCTCTGCAACAGCTTTCAACTTAGAGACATGCAGGCTCATGATCTCCATGCTTGATGTATCCTTTGAATTATCCGACTTGCAGTACTTTTTTGCTTTGAGGTTGTGGAGGAAGTTTTGATGGCTGAAATGACTTGTAGTGTTTTTTAAAAAAACACAATTCAAAATTACTTGGTAAGTTTTTGTTGGGGGTCATTACACCTTTTTTGCATTTCCTGCAGAAGTTTTTCCTGTGCATGAAATCTGTAAGACGAAGTAAATCTAAGGAGTATCCAGACAGAAATGTAGATACCTTGGGGCAGGGGGGGAAGCTTTATGTATACATTCAACCAACTAATTGCTGTGTTGAAGTAGATCTTGACATATTTTGGGAGCAGTCATAAGCCTGTCTACTCAGAATTAAGTCCCATTTTGTTCAGTGGGGATATTCCCAGGATAGTGTCCTTAGGATCACAGCCTTTGTTCTGCAGCAGTTTTTTTAAATTTATGAGACCATGATTGCATGGACTTTTAGATATATTAGCACCGTGGGTTTGTGACTTTTTTTGTAGCTGAATTGTTAAAAAAATTAAGCTATCTAGAGGGTAGAGATAATGAAATGACAAGTTATGTGAGTTTGAAATGAGTAAATTAAGATGTAAATTGAAATCTGTCTTCGCACAGGAATTAATTTGCAGTGCAGTTTCCTCATGACCTTGAAAACAATGTAATTGATTAGAATTTTGTCTTAAAAGACTAGTGCTGGAATGGCAGAAATATAATTGTATGAGACCTGTGTAGAATCTTACAGTTGATCTTTCTTGCGTTCCTGCACCTTACAACACTGCATTAAGTAATATTTATCTTGCATTTGTTCTGCTACTAAATGGCATGATCCTTAGCCACTGTTCAGAGAGACATGTCTGGCACGATGGGCTTTAATGAATTCAAAGAGCTTTGGGCTGTACTGAATGGCTGGAGGCAGCATTTCATGAATGTCGACTCAGACCACAGTGGGACGGTGGATTCTCAGGAGATGCAGAAAGCTTTGGCAACCATGGGTAAGCTGAGAACATAAGAAGAGCCCTGCTGGAACAGACCAGTGGTCCATCTAGTCCAGCATCCTGAGTCACACAGTTGCCAGCCAGTTACCCAGGAGGGCCAACAAACAGGACATAGAAGCCAAGGCCCTCTCCTGATGTTGCCTCCTAGCACTGACGTTCAGAGGTTTGCTGCTTCAGAATATGGAGGTTCCCTTTAGTCACCACAGCTACTAGCCATTCCTCCATCTATCTAACCCCGTTAAAGCCATCCATGCTGGTGGCCGTCACTATATCCGCAGGTAGTGAATTCCATAACTTAATTGTTGAATAAAGAAGTGTTTCCTTTTGTCTGGAATTTGTTACCATCCATCAACTTCATTGGGTACCCCTGAGTGCTAGTAGTGGAGAGGGAGCTGAGGGGTTTCCTCTGGACTAGACATTAGGCAAATGAGCAAAAAAAACCCCCACCCATCCTGCTCCATTTGGCTTGAAAGGCACTTTGTGCCATTCTTGGTGGGCTGTACCCCATTAGTAAGTAATGCAAAGCACACATAGATAAATTCGAAGTCCCTTGCACCTTGTTTTCTGTCCTCTCTTTTTCCATTTAGGATTTAGGTTGAGTCCACAAGCAATCAACGCTATAGCGAAACGATATAGTTCTCATGGAAAGATTTCATTTGATGACTACATTGCCTGCTGTGTTAAACTCAGAGCTCTCACTGGTATGTGTTAGTGCATGGCTTTATTACTGGAATTAATGGATATATATTCTAGACACTGGATCTCTTTTGTCTAATTTTTGGTGCATTTCATATAGGTAGCGGTTCATATAAGTGAACCTGGTAACTAGCTGCTGCTTATTAAGGCCATCTGTGTGTGTGTGAGAGAGAGAGAGACGCAAGCACAGAAACGATCAAATAAAGTTAGTGTAAACAGCTTGATACTGGCATTTCAATCCTAGTACTCCCCCCCCCCTCCTGACCCTGTCCTTATGCCTGTTCATCCTACTGTCCTGTATACATATACAGGCTAACCCGCACTCTTTCCTATGGATTTGTGCTTCTGCAGCATCATGTGATCAGTTCACAGAATGATTTCCAAAAGTGTACTAAAGTTGCCCCACCCATTTCTAAGGAAAGAGAGGCCATTAGGTAAAACAAGCAAGGTAGCCACTAGGATTGTGTAGATTGTGAACAGGAACTTTGTAACACTTTGAGCAAGTATTTTAATAACACAGCAGGACATCTTATATGTTAGCATTTATCTCACATCTTTATATACCCTGAATCCTCTCTCAGTACGCAGTTCTTCCTGTATGTTTTTGCAGATAGCTTTCGAAGAAGGGATGCAGCCCAGCAGGGAATGGTGAACTTCCAATATGATGATGTAAGTGAATCTAAATCTGGGTGGGCTAGGAGAGGTGCAAAAAGAGAACAGTCACCTGTACATGGTTAACAGCCATTTATTGTACGCTCACCCAAGCTCAAAGCTTCAGTTTATTTGTTGTAGCTTGTATCCTGCCCTTTTCTTTTTTGTACCCTTAGAAGCTCTTTGATTCATGAATCTTGAGCAGCAGAAAACACTTACTTATTTTTTTAGATGCAAGGGTGGAAAGGACTGAGACAAGTTTGCAATTGCTAGAGCAATCTTAGGATCCTTATCACTGAGCAAAAGAGCCAGGGCTTCCGGAATACAGAGGGACGATTGGTTGAATAAAGGCTTAATATAGTAATCCCTCATAATCTCAAAAACCCCTGCATTCCAGGAGGGCGTGAAAAGATGTATCAATCCTGATGAGGCTACAAGGGCAAATCCTGTCAGTGTAGGGTCTATTCAGAAATATCCCTTGCAAAACTATTGTAGGTATAACAAAAAAAAAGCTCTGCAATAACGTGGGATAGTAACATAGTACATATAGGGGGGGTAAAGATTTGGGGTAAGAATCTGGGGTGAGCATACTCTGTGGGCTCTCTGAATCAAACCACAATGGTTGATTTCCAGGACTCCTAGGAGCCTTTTGTCCATGGTAGTTTAAGTTTGTTCCACAATCAAGGGTGATTTATGGAGTAAAAGGCCCCCTTGAAGTCAGTAAAAGCTGCATATAATCTCTCCCCCCCCTTAAAAGATGAATATTTCTCAGCCAGGTGATAAGAGAACTAGGCAGTGGTCATATGTTGAGGAACCCTGCCTAAATCCTATCTGTTCATGCCCCAGTATGGTTTCTGATTCCATCCAATCCAGGAGCTTCTTTAGTAAGTAAGCAGAATATAGTTTTCGTAGAAAAGAGAGAAGGCTGATTGATGGATAGCAGGATGGGTCTCTTTTGGACCCCTTTTTGAATATCGGGATATATCCTGCCCTTTTCTAGGGAATAGAGCAGCACTTCTGGTCTGTAAACCTGTTTGTTGAAAAATAATTATACAACTAAAACTTCTCAGCTTCATCATGTCAACAACTGAACACTTTTGAAGGAGTGTGAGAATTAGCACATTGTTATGTGTAGGCAGTGTCTAGGAGGTGCCGAAACTTTTCAGCCTTGGAGAACCCTATGCATATTAACTTGTCCAAGCTCATGAGTGTTTTCCATGGAACTGCTGGGCATGCTAAAATAAGAACATGGCAGCTGGAGCAGCTCAGTGGTTCCATCTCATCCCTCATCTTGCCCCTGAAAGGCCTCACAAGCAGCTCACAGAGGCTGAAGCCTGATTTAGAGCTGGGCCTAAGTAACTGATTAGCAAAGCTGAAAGAGCAGATGTTACACAATTCCCTCCTCAGCTCTTAATGTTGCCCATTACTTTAGTGTAAACCACATTAAAGTGACAGTTATCTTCCCACACAGGTGCTTAACTCACCTGTCTGTTACCTTTTCCAAGATTCCTTCTCTCTGGTGCTACAGTGCTGGGAAACCCATGTATTCACGGAATGGGACATTGCAGAAGAAATGGGACATATGCTGGGTTATGCCCTCAATTCACATGGAATTGCACCTGCCAGTTTGAGGGTGCCTGTTTCCCCCTGCCCCAGTACACTTAGTATACTCGGTGTTCCCTTTATGCAGGGAAAGGTCAATAACAGAAGAGAAATGTCTTTCATGGAAGGTTGTCTGGTAGTATTAAGCTACCCTTCAAGGATTCTCAAAACTTAAGGCATACAATTTGAAAGTCATTGTGTTCAAAGGCCTTTCTACCAGCATGGTCAGCAGGTTCTAAGGAAGACATTTCAGCACTAGAGAAAGATGTGTGATCATACATGGGATTTAACACATGCCTTGTTGTTTTGTTTTGGTCTTTTTGCAGTTCATTCAGTGTATCATGAGCATCTGATCTGTAATGAAGGAAGAGACTGAGCATGATCAACATTCCACTTTGGTTTTTGCTTTGCACCAAAAAAAAAAATCATGGCTGTGTAACTAAATGGTATTTGCATACTTTATTAATATTGATTTATATGTCTTTATAGTTTTGATAACTAACAAAAAAGGAACAGTGAAATAAATCCTGTTTTGAGTTGATTGGTCTTTCATATTTGTAATTCACTTTCTGTAGCGAGTAACAATATTATTATTCAGTTTTTATCATCTCTTCCTGTACTTCTAAGAACTGTTTATACCTTCCTGTTATTTTGTGCCTTTGGTATGTAGATGTATGGCAATACTGTATAAAGTGGTAGAGAAACTTAGGGGTTCAGTGAGAACAGAGACTTTCCAAGCAATCCAGATGTGGCTTTCCAAACACACAATCTCTTTTTAAAATCCATTTTCGCTTTTATGCAGCAGGAAATATTGCATTAGTAGTTGTTTATGCTAATTATTCTATTATTTGTGAACCCACGTCTCCTTACACTGGTAAGGTTAAGCCACCACTTATGTATGTATGCTCTGACATAACTGTTAACACATCCCAGAATATATAGGGGAAAGATAGACAAGAAAGAGGGAAGTAAGTCAGCAATCCATTGGGAACAGAGGGGAAATACCTTGAATAAATAACTTAATTCCTCACTAGGGGGAGGTTTCCCATATTTTTCATACCTTGAAGAAACAACACTGTTATATACCACACATACCATTGCACATGCTTATTTAATATATTTTCCCATTCAACATAGTAGTTATGCTGCAATATTCAGTGTATGCTTTAGTACATGTGCAAAAAAAGTGAATTCATGACTCTGTATATGCATTTTCTTTTCTTTTTTTTTTAAGAGTCCATAAAATATAGTCAGTTCTGTGTTGATTGGCTATAACAGAAAAAAAATCCCTGTCTGCAAACATTTTGTGTGACATCTTTTAGTTGGGGGGGGGGGGGGGGGAGGCACGGGGAGAGGCAGCTAGTCCTTCTTGCTGAGGTTGGGGGGGCCTCCCTATTTCAAACATTTTCAAAGGTACAGGATCTATGCCTGCCAACTCCATAGCAATGTGGAAATGGTTATGTTTAAGAAATACTTGATCCTTTAATTATTATATATGGATCTGGTTAGCTTAATTTTACTTGAGCCTTGTTGGAAGATCCAAAAGAGATTACTCATCCAGGAACTGAATCTAACATTCTTCTCTTTCCATTCCCTGCCAGTTCACTGTATGTTTAAATGACAAATGGGAGCACTCTTGCATGATTAAATGACCTATGAGCACCCTTGCATCCATTCCACATGTTGGATTTTTAAAAATGCATTACTTTTTTTGCCAGAGTAATTTCTCTGAACTGCTTTTCCATTTACATTTAAACCATTATGCTTATCAGATTTCAGAGAACATTCTGAGCAGTGAGAGAACAGAACCTCTCTGCTTTGTGGAAGAGTGCCCTGGGTGCCTGCATCAATGAAAGTTCTTCACAGGTTCCCTTTGTGCCATGTAAACTTAGCCAACAAACAGAGGCAGGCTGGGTGAGGCACAGATCACAATGGACTGTGCTGTAGGATTTGCTAGGCAGTAGGCAACAGCCATGCCTGGACTGATGAAATGACAGCACAAGCTGCAACGCCAGATAAGTCAAACCAAGAAGCTGACAGAGAAGTACATAGCTCAGCTGGCTCCTTAGACAATCTGGACTTCAACAGAGAGTTGTAGCTCTATTATATTTGTCTCCAGTTGTCAGTAAACCCATCATAATTATGTCAGTAATGTCCTGTGCAATGTTTTGTGTTAACTTAGTTTCAAACGATAAAAAAGTACCATGTTATTTGTAGAACAAAATTTGAGTCCAGTAGCACCTTAAAGACCCACAAAATTTCCCAGAGTATGTTTTTCCCAGTCAAAGCTCACTTCTTCAGATACAGATAGATAAAAATATTATTTGTACTATCAGTGATTATATTAACGATTAAGAAGTTTGACAATAACAAGCCCTTCCAGTAGCCCGAGATCTTGGGAAACAGCTAGGAAAAAAATTTACAACGGATTTTCAAATTAGCTAAAGTAGTTATGGCAGCCCAGTCAACAGACAATATGGCTGAGGCAGACCAAGGGTTGGACCCCAAGCACAACAGATCTTTCTCTGCTGCTCCATTCCTCTTGCAGCCGAGTGAACTTCCAGAAATGCTGTTCCTAGTGGTTGGGAAAAGCTTGGAGTGTTGTGGAGAGTGTGTATGCTAGCAAGAGATTATTGTACATAAATGCGTAAAAGGATTCCTTGTTCTTACAGCAGTCTGAATTTTTCCATATCATGCAGTGAGGAGCCCATTTAAACTGATGGATCACCCACAAGAGGTAATGGAAAACTAACAGGAGACTTTCTTACAAGAATTTCCCCTTTTTAAAAGCAAGCTTTATCTCTTGCTTCCTCTACAAGAATATGTGCAGCCTTCCCACCCAGGACTGCATGGGAAATTTTTTTTCTTAGGATAAAGACAGACACTGTAGGTTAAAGCCAGCCCCCATGTTGAAACAGGCAATAGAGCTAAGCAGCTTCCAAACAAGCATTATAGTTTTTGGCTTCTTATTGCATTAAACGGCATGTGAAATTAGTTGTCACAAAACTTGCTTTTTATATTTTTTGGCAAAGATCCGCCTATGAAATTATCATGGCACATTTTAGCTACTATTGTTACTAGGGTTAGCTCAATATGGGGATGGAAGTTGAACATGTATCTTTTGTTTTTGTGCCATCACGTCACAGTTGACTTATGGGGACCCTCTAGGGATTTCAAGGCAAGAGGCGTTCAGAGGTGGTTTGCTACTCCCCGCCTCCGCATCACGACCCTGGTATTCCTTGGAGGTCTCCCAACCAAATACTAGCCAGGCCAACCTTGCTTAGTAGGTCAGTGCTTATCATAAGACAGGGATTTCTAATGTAAGTCTTCTTGAGTACATACACTAAATTAAGAACCTTTTAAGGAGCATACAAAACACCAATAATTCATTTAAAAGCCATTTTTATTGATTTTACAATATGTAAATAATGGAAACAAAAAAGCATTTTATAGTAAATATTCTCATAATAGTTGCTATGACAAACAAATTGAGTTTTATAAAAAGGAACATTCTTTAGTTAATAGGAGATTTAGCTTAATAGATTTTATTGTTTATAGCAAAAAGCTGCAATGATATGAATGGGCATGTTTCTGTTATCACTATTTCCAAAAAATCTGTTTTAGCAGCGTACCAGGTAAGAATTAGGAGAGTTCTGTACAGCAAAACAAGTACAAGATAGAACAGTAGCCAATCTCCAGTGGTGAATATAATTATCTTGTTACCAAATGGGATAGTTTTTATATGTTAAAACAGATTTTCTTCAACAGCAACACAAACACACTTGCAAGAATTCAGCCAGTGGGTATCGCCTGCACCCAAAGCGTTGTTGAAATTGACTGTCATACTGGAAATGTTTTCAGCAGCAAACTTTAAAATGTAGTAATTGTTGTTGTAATCACTGTACAAAGTTGAAATGGATCTGGCCATGTTTAACACAGTCATTTGATTTCATGGAAATTAAAGGGACCAACAGCATACAACTCATAAATAATATTATGTATAAATACAACTCAAAGGTTTCATTTTTAGTGTGCATCAGACTGCATTTTTAGCAAACACTCCACAGATGCTCAGTGGGAATTACTGCGTTAATGCCAGTGATATATTGCAGAATTGCAACTGTGATTTTATAGTTGTCAGCTAGCACCACTATATTCAAGGGCAGTAAAGCATATTTACAAGGGTTTCCAAACTGTTTGTAAAAATATACTTTGCAAAACTTGAATATTTAAGGCCTCTCATATGTAAAATCTATGCCTATTTTTCCAAACTGCAAAACTAGAGGGGAAAAATATAGTCTACTTTCCCTACTTTCTACTTTCCCACACGTTTTAATTTAACGTTCATACAACCAACTGTTGGCCAGGCCTCTGCTCTATTCTATCAGCCTGATCCTTAACCTAAGACAGCGGGGCTTGATATTCCACAGCTTTGGTGAAGGGGATAAAACTCAGCAAGAGAGCACTAAATTGCATGCCAGCTAGGGTTTTACATTCAGGCCCTGGCAACTCCAGTTAAAGTGATCTCAGGTAGCAAAAGCTTTGCCTTCCCAAGACCATGAAACATCACTAGCAATTGGAGAAGACAGTTTTGAGACACATGGACTAGTGGTCTGATACAGTAAAAGGCAGCAGCATCCACTGCTATCACATTAATTCCACTATTCCACAGGCTCTTCTCTCCTTGGTTTATTTCTCCATAGCTTTCTTTTGCCTTCCCAATGGCTGCTGTAATTTAGGTAAGGAAAACTCTCATCAATTATCAGATCATTTTTTTTTTACCAAAAGTCAATTTCATTGGGTATGAACACTAACCCTGTTTTCTGAAGATCAAGAAACGTGAGAGACATTTCTAAATTCAAATACCAGAAGGCAAAAGACTGACATTGAAAGGAAGCTTAAAAAAAAAAAGTGGCATAGGAAACAATTTTGATTATACCTATAAATTCCTACAAAAATCCTACATAGCAACACTGTCCCATAATGCTGTTTACTCAAAAGAAAGATTAGGTTTTTCCAGGTGAACCATCAAGTACATTCACACAAGTTACATGTACGGTACTTTAAAAATGTATATCAAATATTCCTAGGTGAGTCATCTTACATTCACATCTTCCTTTTGGATACAGTCAATCTTTTAAAAAATCCTTTAGCCCAATGACACACACATATACACTTGACAGAAATTTCTCTCTGGCACACCTATGTAGGATACACTCAGTTGCGTGTCAGTCTGTTTGTATGCTTATTTCCTGCCTTTCTCCGCCAATGGAGACTCAAAACAGCTTACATAATTCGCCTGTTGTCTATTTTATCTTCACAACAACCTTGTGAGGTGGGTTAAGATGAGAGTGACTAGCCCAAGGTCAGCCAGCAAGCTTCCATGGCAGAGTGAGACTCCCAGATCCTAGTCTGGCATCCTAACCACTATGCCATGCAGGCTCTTAGAGGTTTTAAAAATGCTTGCTAACATTTAATGAACCCTAACAGACTGGCAACCCTAACTCTATTAGTAAACTTCCAATGGCAGCCATAATTTGAATAGAATGACTCCTACCTACCACATTATTTTTCAGAACTAATTCTGCAGAACAGAAACCACATTCACTGCATGTACGGCTGCAATGGGAAATGGCAACATTTATTTGGGTCTTTAAGAAAACAAGCTCACATTTTTCGGCACACTGGTAGATAAGCAAATATCGGAAAGTTGCTCACAGAGATACCATTATGAAAGAAAGACTATACAGTATCAGCTCACATGAATATTACCCTGATCACACACAGAACTGGCATTAGAGCTTTCTCTCTCGGGTAATTGTGGCACCTGAAGCCCACGGGAATAAGAGAGCTGTAAGATACAATCACTAACTCTCCATCAACAATTATAAAAAAAAGATGTAACACCAGAGCCTTACAAAAGTGATAAAATTTGTACTTTTGGTGGTTTCTATCTGCACATCTGGCTACTTCATGGCTTCAGGCTGCATAACCAGTTTTCATGCTCCCCTGGTTATAATAAGTTTTAAAGATCAGCTGGAAAAGAACAGGGCAGGGTCTGATGTGTGTTGGCACACTTCATTAGTTTTATTTTGCAGAGTCTGATCCCAAGGCTTCTGAGAATCCAGATGTAATATGATTAGCTATAAGAGGCTCAAGAAGTACAACAGGCTGAAAAGAATACTTAAGTGAGGGCCAAAGAAAAATTAATTCCGTCAACATTATCTGTGCTG